ATATATATATATACAAATATATATAAAACACACATGCGCGCGAGCGCGCGTACACACCGTCGCGTAAGTTCATCGCAAGATAGAACGTTATGTGGAAATCGTTATTCCGGTCGAGGAACGGCTTGAATTTAATATTTATCAGGCACATCGTAGTGAAGACTTCGCGAGCAGAAGGTTATTACGTAAGTTTAGTAACACCGTGAAGGAATCGTGTCGCGTTCGACGAGTCAACTCAAAGCTTGATACGAATTAATTTCGAAACTTCATCAATCCTGATTTAAATTCCACGGAACTTTCTATCGACACTTTAAGCACTCCTCGCATACTTAATATTGATTTATTTCTCACGCCCATCTTTCCGATAAATATATTAGAAGATACATGTAATCGTTCAAAGCGTTTGTTCACCATTATTCAACATAGAGATTAATTTAGGAGCGTGACAATTTTGTGTTTACGACTTCTTCGAATAATCTGCAACGTCATCTTGCAAGACGGAGAGTCAAGACTCAAGGATAGATTAAAAATTCATAATCGCATCGTTCCGTGCCGCGCCCGCCATGGGTGCAACAAAGCAATTAAAAAGTTAATACCGTCACTCGTCCTAGACGACCCACCGCGAGCCGCGCCTTCTTTATAGGATACACAGCGTCGTACTTTACAAATTTGCGCGACACTCCTGGCGGTTCAATTTAATGAATTTTAGATTTTAACTTATCACCTACTAACTCTCTACCCTCCAGTTATTAAAACTTGCCGCAATCCTTCGTCCTGTCCTGCATAATCCCCTCTCTAACCCAGCGCTACGTATATCTTTTACGTTATTCTTTTTATCTTTTTTATCTTAACCGCTCTCTATCCGTTCGCTTCTGCTCTAATTAGACCAAATATATTACACTAAATACATTATATACAGAAAGCAGTTATAAAGCTCGTGTCTTAAACAGCTTGCAAGTTAATTATATTAAGCTTCGATTTACCGATATTAACGATATCGTAATTTATTCAATATTTAATGAGAAAATTTAATACAAAATTTACATAGAATTATGCATCTTTAATTTTTCTAAAGAACGAATACATGATTTTTCGGCTCAATCATGCTTTACATTTGACATCAATATTGGAAGCAAAAATCTTAAAATATCAAACTAAAAAATTCAAAATAATGCAAGCAATAGTCAGTGAAAATTGAGCGAGAAATTTTTCACACACACACACACACACACACGCGCGCGCGCGCGCGCACAAACACAATAAGTAAAAAGACTACATTCGGTCAAAACGGATCTTGATGCCTAATAATTTTTTTGTATAAATTTTCACAATTACCGATTCAAGTAAACTGCGCCGATTATATTATAACATTTATCAGTTTTGAAACTAAGCTGGAATCACAAATTAAATTGCGAAATTAAATTGATAAGCAATTTATTGTTAATGAGCATAATGCTAATGAGCATCTTTAAAATATTGTAAAGAATTTATTGCGAAAAACGTTACCCCCGCTGAGATTAAAATCTCAGAACTTTCCTTATTTCGTAATGTTTTACTAATTCGACTACCGAGGCACATGAAACAATGTATTTCAATTTTATGTAAAAATTTCAAATAAAACAATGCAATTCGTTAAATTTACTTTAATTTGATTAAATACGTAAATACAATACTTAGTATAAGTAAACTATAATAAAGTATTTATATAAACGGATCCTATAAACATTTAATTTTGAGACATATAATATCATAGATATATAATACAGAAAAATTAAAGCATTAAATGTTTTAAGTAAATCTCTCTCAACATAGGTTCATGTATATGTGGATAAGTTAATAAGTAATCTTGACACTTGCCACTTTAATTTTTGAAGGAAAAATTAATTGTACACTCGAATTTAATGAAAAAATATAAACAAAAAAAAAAATAAGAAAAGCAGAAAATCTAAGAATTGCTATTAACAAAAATAGATTAGCAAAAAAATCGTAAGCAAGAATAAAAAATGGAAAATAAGCGAAGCTTGATCGGAACACAAATTATCTGATATGAGACACCCAAAATTCGTAAATGGATGGAGAAGGCATGCTGCTTTTCACGTTGTTTTTCTATGTAAATTTGTATTTCAAACGATTAACCTGCGGAAATAACTTTCCTCGATGCCTCTGTTTAAACTTTGAGGTTTCCCTTTCTTTTTTTAAACTAATTCCAAAACTGGCCATAAAAAATCATCAAACACGCGCTATTTTAGCAAACTTACTGGAAACAGTAATTAAATTGAAATAAAAAATTTTTGGATTTATCAATAATTAAGTCTTTTCAAAAATCACTTAATAACTATTGTTTCGAAGAATCATATATAGTATTATAAAAAATATAACTAATCGATTACTTTTAAATGTGATTTAAGTAAAAAATTGCAAGTTTTTAACCATTTGTAATCACATTGGAAAATCACTTATAGAAAATAAAAAGATACGAGTGTTAAATAATATTTAAGACAATATTCAACACTCGTATCTTTACAAAACAGTACTAACTATAAATATTAAAGTAACTATAAATATTTAAAAAACGCTTAAAATTTATTCGAAATTAATTTTCGTACAGTAATATTTTCAACAAAAAAATATAAAAAATCAATAAGATCTGCATCAATGCTAATTAATGAAAAATAAGAGTAAAGAGGAAAATAAAATATACGTATAATTTTTAAAGGATAAATTGCATTTATATATTTGACTTTCAAGTTCAAGAACATTGTAGCGACAAGTAATTTCAGTTTATCTGATTTTCATTATCTTATCACTCTTTCAGAGATAACAATATAACAAAATAGCATTATATTTCCATAGCTCCATTAAAAAAAACTCCTATCATTTAAAGAAGTAACGTAATCAATAACAAATGCTTATTGCAAATATTTGTGCAGATAACTATCTGTGCAGTTTGTACTGACTACTGATATAATGGACTGTTTTCTTAAATTTTTTTATCTTCAATATCTAATCTCAGAAAATACATCATATCTGATTAGTAATCTCCGAAACGTACCAGACACATAAAAAATGTCAAAAGTTTTATTTAAACATACTATAATGGACTTATTTTTATTTATATAACTGATATAACAATAATTATTTTCGATTTTATTAGAACTTTCGAAATCCTATTAATTAAAAAAAATATTATTTAAATGTATTAAATATATTATAAATATATTATAAATGCATATACGGTATGCAATAATATAGCGCATTACATAATACATATTGCATCAGTGTGTTGCAATTTTGACAT